GGGCTGGAGGTCAATCCCTGGATCCTTTTTGAGGAGATGGACTCAGGAGGAAAGAGGATCATGTCCTAGAAAGTCATCCAAGCCAAAGGCTTAGTCACGTGTTGCCGAGGGGCCGCTGGCTGGGTCTCGGGGAGCTCATGCTGCCTTGTGTGAAGAGCTGCAGTGCCGAGGAGACGGAGGGTTGGTTTCCTGGGCTCTTAGGAAACATGAGGGATGCCCTGGTGACTCACATGATAAACACTCTGCCCACAGTGCAGGAGGCCCGGGTTCCATCCCTGGGTCAGGTCGATCCCCTGGAGAAGGACATGGCAACGCACTCCAGTATTCATGCCTGGGAAATCCCATGGGATAGGGATAGGGAGCCTGGTGGGCTGCAGTCCACGAGGTTGCAAAGAGTCAGGCACGACTGAGCGACTTCACTTTCTTTACTTTAGGAAGCATTCAGGAAAGTGCTGTTTTCCCCCAGGGTCTTGTTTTTGGGAAGCAGCGAGTACAGAGTCATGCAGCCCGGAATAGTTACTAGTGGGGCTGGGGGGCCAGGGAAGTGACCAGGTGCGTCCCCCATAGCCCACTAGAGACACAGAGGGGAGGCGGCCCGTGGGGACCTGCAGGCTTCTCGGGCCCTGGAACACAGTGAAGGCCCGTGCTCCATGCAGTTCCTTATTTGCCGTTAAGACTGTATGTCCACACCGATGTAGATGTTGCTGGTATCTTTTGCCTAGGTTGTATCGAGTCATTCCATCAATCACCATTGCCTTTGGGACAGACCCAAGAACTCAAATTAGAAGCCATTTAGACATTTAGTTTCGAGTAGCTCAGTGGTAAAGAATCTGGGTCGGGAAGATCCCCTGGAGAAGGAAATGGCAACCTACTCCAGTATTCTTGCCTGGGGAATCCCATGGACAGAGGCCCCTGGCAGGCTATGCTCCATAGGATTACAAAAGAGTCAGGCATGACTTAGCCACTAAACAACAACAGCAAATTTACAGGGATAATCCCAAATGGCAGCCAGTTGGAACCTGGAAGAGAGGCCAGTCTTTATGCTCTTTGGACTTAGGAGGATTCCTACTGCTAACTGAATAAATGCTGAAGGCCGGTTTTGGGGGCATCTCCCCAAGAAGAGAAGTCTGTGTAGTTGACCATCTGCATTCATGGGAGACTAGTTCTTTCTCTCTAGTTGGAACAATTTACTCATATCAGGGCATTAAAATAAAATTAATAAAGTGTTCTAATTAATGCTATGGGCTTCCACGTTCAGCTGGTGGTAAAGAATCTGCCTGCAGTGCAGGAGACGCAAGAGACGTGGGTTCCATCCCTGGGTCGGGAAGATGCCCTGGAGGAGGAAATGGCAACCCCCTCCAGGATTCTTGCCTGGGAAATTCAGTGCTCAGAGGAACTTGTTCGGGCTACAGCCCATGTCCGCAAAGAGCTGGACAAGACTGAGTGACTAAGCACAGTTAATGCTGTGGTTTGCATATCCTGCAATACTTAATCCTAAACGTATACATGAACATTTTGATGGAGGGCTTTCCTAAGTAAAGGTCCACAGGTTGGTGGCTTGTCCAAGAGCCTGTCTTCTCTTAATCACACTCATATTACATGCCCTCTGATTTCTAGGTTTAAAATTCTTAGGGTCGAACTAGAAAAGAAAGACACACACCTGACAATTTGAATGCAGAGGTTTTTCTAGGTTTTATGAATTTCCCTTCAAGCATTAAAGTTGCTTGTCCCTCAGTTAACTGTACAGTGTTCATTTGGGTAGCTTTTTGTTTGCAAAATATTAAGCTTAGTTTTCATTGTGATAACTCTATTTGTACTGCTTATCTGCTTATTTAGTTCAGTTATGTGACCATAACGAGTACAAGAGGCACATCCATCTTTGGGACTAGGTCATGCACTCTTGGCGAACTCCCATCTCTACAGGTGGGAATAGAATTCTCCAGGCTGACTGTGGTCACAGTGCCACCAACATGGGTGAAGGTACTTCACAGAGGGAAGAGGGGCATTCTGTAGGCTGTCTGTTACCTAATACAGAGGTTTAAAAGTAGAATCACATTCTAGGAATGTGAATGTGATTAGAGATGTTGGTTGAGGTTTTTGGGGACTGTCAGAACCCTAAGTCACATACAGATGGCATACACAATGTAGCTAGCATATAATATGCAAGTTGAATCTGAAATGGTCACATACCTTCAGTGGAAAGTCCTGAAAACCAAAACATCAGGCTTGAAAGTACTGGGGGATCTGAACTAACTTATAGTAAAAAATTTAGGAAAAATTGTAGGTATTCATCTTATCTTGGAATGTCCTTAGTGGCACGCAAAAAAAAACATACTGAAACTATTCAATATAAGCTACATTGAACAAAATCTTCAAACTCTATTACCATCTGATTCTTGTTCAAAGCTGTTTTCAGTAATTGAGGTGTCTTTTTTCTCCCCATGAATGTCCACCTTTCTTCTTGCTTATTTTTGGGTATAATATCTGTATTTCTTATTTTCCTGCTCTCCCTAGAGTTTAATCTTCTGTTGCTCCGTCTCAAGGGGTAGCCCCGGGCAGCATACGACGCCGGCTCAGCATGTCAGCACGATTAGAGTCAAGTGGAGCTGTTTAGATGCTTCCAGCGTGACCAGTGTGTTTATTGAACTAATGCATATTCATTGTTTCCTTTTGAGAGACTGTAAATCATTTAGATAGATTTAGTAGTTATAGTTTCAATATGTTTTCTGTGTACTATTAAGGCATTCCAGGATAAGATGAAGACCTAAATTTTTTTCCTAATTTTTTAATGTGAGTTAATTCAGATCCCCCAGTGCTTTTCAGAATGATGCTTTGGTTTTCAGAACTTTCTCTCGAAGTGTGTGTGTGTGTGTGTGTTAGTTATCTGACTCTCTGCGACCCCATGGACTGTAGCCCACCAGGCTCCTCTGTCAATGGAATTCTCCAGGCAAGAATACTGGGGTGGGTTGCCATTTCCTCCTCCAGGGCATCTTCCTGACCCAGGGATCGAACCCACATCTCCTGTATTGACAGGCAGATTCATTACCAGTAGCGCCACCTGGGAAACCCTTACATGGTAAAGGTCCTGCTGGGTATGGAATTTGCTCTCTGCTTCTCAGAGGATTAATGCAATCTACTCAAAATCCCGTGTCTTAAAGGAACACCACCTGTGTGTTACAATCAGTTGCTTGTTTGGGAAAGGGACGTTTTCCTCACTTGTACTTTGACAAATGTGGCTATTTTCCAGGCTGTGCTGATCACAGACATGCCTCATTGCTTGCTGACTGTTAAACAGAGGAGTTTGTGGAGAAAAGTGGCATACAGAAAATACGGCTTGGTCTGCAGCATTCTTGTAGCGGAGCCCCCTTATCGACATTCATTAGAAAGTTATGCATACTGTACAAAGGGAGACAGAAGTCAGAGGCTGCCTCCCTTCCAGAACAGCAGCCCACACACCAAACTAGAAAGTTTACAGCAAGAGCACGGTTCGGGAGGATCCTTAGTAAGGAAGGTATTTTGATGGTAGTCATGAGTGATTTTTGCAAAGAGTTCCATTTTACCTTTTCCAGATGCAAAACAGGTCTGCCCTTCCTAGGCCTTTTGTGGTTGGGTGTGTGACTCACAATATTATCCATTTAAGCTTTTCCAAAATATTTTCTAGAGCTCCTGGCTGACTGTATGTATATTGAATACCTCATTCTTCCGTTTCTCTTCTTTTTTTAACCCAGAAATTGCATCTATCTACTTAAACAATTTAGAAGCCATTTCAAGTATTTTCTGAAATCATAACTCCGGAAAATTGGGATCAACTTGGAGGGAATAGACCTAATACAGTCTTTTAATATAGTCCCTTTGGAGCAAAATTAGAGAACACCATGGGCAAGGCTTGAAAACAGTGTTAAGATATCCAGAACGTAGGCAGAGTAACTCCCCAAGTTCACATGTCTTCAGTTTTATTCTCTCATATGCATTTTTCTTCTTTAATCCTGTACTTGTATGTCTAAATGTCTATGAGTAATTATTTCATAATCTGTATTATGCCCATTTTAAAGAAATTACCAAATGTCTACTGGGCCTCCCTGGTGGCTTAGATGGTTAAGAATCTGCCTGTAATGCAGGAGACCCAGGTTCAACCCCTGGGTTGGGAAGATCCCCTGGAGAAGGGCATGGCGCCCCACTCCACGTATTCTTGCCTGGAGAATTCCATGGACAGAGGAGCCTGGAGGGCTACAGTCCATGGGATTGCAAAGAGTCTGACACGATTGAGTGGATAATGCTTTCATGAAATATCTATAATTATGTGGATGAGAAACTTTGGGTTCTGGAAGAGTATTATCAAAATGTCCCTGTTTTTTTGAACAGCATATTTTTAGCATAGACTAAATTACCAGTAGATTTTTCTCTAATTCATGCTAAAATTTTTAAAAAAAGTATTCCACATTTTCACAAAGAGCTATATAACCTGACTTTTATGCAGTGGGTCTCAGCCCTGCAGTGCACCAGAAATACTGCATGTTTAAATACAGGAATGCCGGGTTTTACCTCGAGGGTCAGGTTTAATTAGTGTAATTGTGAGCACTCCCCAGGTGATTCTAATGAGTCATCAGTGTGGAGAAACACAGTTTTATTAGGGCCCAGACTCTGCTGTGCACACGTGTTGAGTGGAATCGTGTCCCTAGAGTGTGTTGAAGGTATAACCCCTGGACATGTGGATGTGAGCTTATTTGGAAATAGGGCCTTTGCAGGGGTAATTGGTTAAGGTGAGGTTGGGTGGGCTCTAATCCAACGATTGGCGTCTTCGAAAGAAGAGGGAGGGACTTCCTGGTGGTCCAGTTGAGAGCCGAGAGTCGAGGTTGAGAGTGCAGACGCCTGTGCAGAGAGGAGGGGTCCTGACTGGTTAGGGAAGATCCTGCATGCCGCCTGGTGCCGCCAGAAAAACAGACAAATAAATCGTAAGTTAGAAGAGGGGAATTCGGGAGCCGAGTTGCACAGAGAGGAAAATGCCATGTGAGGTCACAGAGGCAGAGGAGATGAAGAGCGAGAAGGCCGTGGGGAGATGGCCGTGGAGGTTGGAGCGATGCGTAGACCTCCCGGGGAGCACGGGGACCACCAGCCAGCGGAAACCGGAAGGACCGGGCCGCTCTCCCCTGGAGGCGTTGGTGGCGACGTGGCCCAGCCAGTGCCTCGACTTTGGATCCCGCGCCTCCAGTCTCGGTGAGAAGGAATCTCTGGTGCTGTAAGCCAGACAGCTTACTTAGTGACCGCGGCCCTAGGACGCCCGTCCAGCACGTTGCGGCCTTTGGTTGGATTTATTGAAGGTCAAGAGGTTCAGTTCGTACCACCCAAGGACTTACACCGAGTCCTGGGCGTGGATCACAGGTTCCTGGGTGTTTCCCGACTTCTCCGGGCCCTGCAGCGGGTGGCCACAGCGCTGACACCGCCTCGGGCTGGGTGGAGAAGCCGGCGCAGGTCCTGAGCTCGGGGGTCTGAGCCCCACCAGCTTCTGAACAAGACCCCTGCGCGGTTCCTGTGCCCCCTGCGGTTTGAGAGGCCTGGCCGGGAGGGGGCGAGGAGGTGCCCCACAGAAGGAACTTGGTGGCTGAAGCCGTGGACGTAACTTTTGAAATGTCTCCCAGGGAATGCACTTAGTACCTAATAAGCACAGTATATTTTCCTGCACAGAAAGGAAAACATAGTTAAAAACCGAGTTCGACAGAAAATATGGATCCGCTTGGGTTTTGAAAGACAAGTCTGGCTTTTGGTTAATTTTGGTTAATAAATGGTTAATGTTCCACCCTTGGGTTTTGAGCGCCAGGCTATTTTATTTCTCCTCTTCAGCTTCCAGTCAATGGCCTTTCACCAGGATTGGAAGGAGACATAACAAGCAAACCGATTGTGGGACTTATTTTTCCTGATGATGCTGGACAGTGTGGTGTCGGGGAAAAAGAAGGGCTTGGATGTGGGTTTCACTGCCGTGGAGCCTTCGTTTGTATGTTAACGGCTTTCTCTTTCTTCTCCCCTGTCCTTCTCACTGCGCAAATGACCTACTTTGAAGTTTCAAATAAAAAGAAGTTAAATAGGCTTTTATTTGGCTCTTGATTCTGTCTTTTTCTAGCAAATTTGGAAGCGGTCCTGACGTTGAGTGTAACATGGCTGAGTGTGGAGAAGAAAAAGAACATTTCCTGTGTTCTTTTATTTTTTATTTTAGTTTTTTACTGGTCCACTCATGAGAACTTTTTTCGCTGGAGAGGAAAGCCACCAGCCTGCCAATGTTTGCACTCTATGAATAGAAGCATTTGCGTTAAAATGTAAAAAATAAGAAATAAAAAGATGGTTACCCACTTTTGAGATATAGGATGACTAATCTTTAAGGGAGCAAATCCTATGTGTGAGTGTGTGTGTGCTGTGTGTGTGCTTAGCTGCTGTAGGAAGGAAAAAGAATTTTCCCTCCACCCTCCTGAGCTGTTTGCTGAGACCATCTGTAACAAAAGATTAACAGGAGAAAAACAAACAGAAGTTTACTAACTGTAGGTCACTTATACACCAGGAGGAAATGAGCAACCCTGGGGCGGGGAGGCTTAGAATTCAGGATTCAGTACCTTCTTACTGGGGAAGGGGAGGAGGATGGCGGCCTCAGGGGGACTCAGTGATTGTTAGGAAGGAGGAATGGGCTTTAGGACTGGTGGGAAGTGGGGAAGCTTGAGGCAGAGCTTGCCTGGGTGTGGGGTCCACCTTCCAGTGGGTGAGACTCCGGGGGCTGCAGGTGGGGGATTTATGACAAGTGAGTTTCCTTTGGAGGATCTTCCTTTGGAGGATCGGTCTTGAGGCAGATCAGGGCTTCAGAGGGAGCTCCAGCTGCATCTGCTGTTCTGTAAAACGATCAACAGATCGCAGTGGAACATTTTGGGGTGCCATGTCCTGAACTCCTGTGGTCATGGCCTGGGGTGGCATACCCTTCCCTACATAGGATTCTTTCTATCTTAGGTGCTTTGTGAGAAGCATGTGGTCATTTCCATTAGGGCTTCATGGCAAATGGTTTTTGTTTTTGTTTTTTTTTTAAATAAAGGAACAAAGTATGCTGTTGTTGAAATAGAAGTTGTTCAGTTGCTCAGTCATGTCTGACTCTTTGCAACCCCATGGACTGCAGGACTCCAGGCTTCCCTGTCCTTCACTATCTCCTGAAGTTTGCTCAGACTCATCATATCCGTTGAGTCAGTAATGCCATCCAACCATCTCCTCCTCTGGGGGCCCCTTCTCCTCCCACCTTCAATGTTTCTCAGCATCAGGGTCTTTTCCAATGAGTCAGCTCTTCCCATCAGGTGGCCAAAGTACTGGGGCTTCAGCTTCAGCATCAGTCCTTCCAGTGAATATTCAGGGTTGATTTCCTTTAGGATTGACTGATTTGTTCTCCTGAAATGGAAAACTTTTATGTAATTATTCATTTAAATTGTAAGCCATTTTCCTCTGGAAACAATAAGTATAGTGCCTTTAAAATAATACACCCTCCCTTCACAGAGTTATGCTTCAACTGAACTAGTTGGGTGGTAACCTCTTTTGGTAGTTCTGTGAACATGGATGGAATAAAACATCTTGCACTCTGTATCATATGAAAGCTAATACTTATACTGACATTTTAATGTTATCTAATAGGGTAATATTTTCTCTCTTGAGACCTGTAGGTAAATAAAGAGTCGTTGAGTAGGGGTGACTATTATGCTTAGATGAGTGACAACTCATGGTGGGGGATTTATTAGCAGTTATTTAGTATAAACATAACAGAATAAAATAAACTATTCAAGCCTCAAATTAAAGAAACTGTTCTAGAGGAGTATTTAAGATCAAAACATACAACACTGGATGATGTAAGGTTTGTGGAAGGTACAGAAGGGATGCTGGAGTTGGGTTAATCCAATAGGACAAAGAACTGGTAGTGGATTCTGGGAAATTCCTTACCTGAAGGCAGAACTCTAGGGATGGATGTGAGTGCTACTGAGAATCTTTGATCTGGAACCCGTCCAAGACGCCACAAAGGACAGAAGAGTACAATGTGTTCTTTACAATTTGAAGCCTGACAGGTAAATAGTTTTCCTGTGTGTTTAACAATGAGGAGTCAGACTGGTTTACATAGTGGCAAATTTTGACCCATAACACTGGGAAGTATTTGCCTAGAACTCTGGACAGGCATGGGTGGGACCAGCTAGTGAGTGATTTGTTACCTCCAGCCCAGTCCCTGCCTTCCCCTGACCCTGCCTATGATGCCATTAAACCCACTCTCGCCCAAGGTCAGGGGGGCATCACTTCCTCTCAAACCTGAGCTGGAGTCACACTTAGAATATTACTGCCCAGGGGTGTCTGCGGCTCCCAAGCATCGGACAGCACGCCAGCCGGCTGCTCAGCAGGAGTGCCTCGCACCACACCCCCTCCCGGCCTCTGGGAAAGTGAAGGAGCCCCTGCGACCCATAAGCTTCGTGGCGCCCACCGCTGGCCCAGCGTCGCCTTCTGATGGACATAAACTCTTGCTAAAAATAAGCATCAGACCCTGCGTCTGTGGTGGATTGAGACAAAAACAAGGCCCCTCCATTGTCCTGTGTGAATACAGACAAAAACATGAACATCCTTCAAGCCACAGACATGAAAGGACATCTCTCACGCTGGTCAGTATCAGTGATGCTGCTTTTGGACCAACTGCATCTTTTTCTTGCCCAGTCCTCCCTCTTAAGGGATACGATTTATTGAGATCAATCACAGAATGGACCGAGTGTCTTGACATCATATGATTGAGAAAAAAAGCTCAGATCCTGGAACCCACTCCAAAGTTCCCCAGCCCCTTTGGGGTTCCCCAAAGGACCCCAGCTGGTCCTTTAGTGAGTCCCTCTTGCTGAGATGCTCTGCAGTCCCATGATGCGTTTGTTGTCCCTCAATGCGGTGCATGCCACTCAAACCTGCTTCACTTCAGGAGCGTTCCTGGGGATCTGGGCTCGAGGCATCGTCTTTTTCTTCCCACCTTCCCCTACACTTGCTTCTCTCACCCTCTGGCTAATGCAGCTGCTTCTGAATCCCCGCTGGTTTATTCTACCCTTCCCTCACCGCGTGGGCATCCCTCCGTCCTGGGTGATGAGCTCTGATTTACCCATCCTGGAATGCCCCATTACTTGTCTCCCGGTGGGACAATGGGGTACCGATCACTTTCAGACAGCTCTGGGGTGCAGGGCTTGACCATCTCACTGCTTGCAGCTCAGATAGTTCCCTTAGGCTCCACCAGCGCTGTGTTGGCGGAGCACGTGACCGGTCGTGGACCATCACCATCTAACACAGGACAGTCGTGGGCTCCTAGAAACATTCAGTCCTGGGCTGGATGGGATCTTTGTGCTGGGAAGGAGTTGGGACCAGTCCTTAGTGAGTCCCCTTCTAAACTAAAATTCTGTGATGTTATGGTTCCTTTTCCTTGAAGAAAAGGAATTTTTCTTGCTTCTTTGTGATCAGTTATGGATTGCTTTTGTTGAAAAGGTAAGTCAGGGTAACTTCTAGATTATATATATATATATAATAATATACATAGTAATTTATTCCTTTCCGGACTTTGAACTCTAAAATATATTTAGTCTGCATATTTTATAGGTATTTTGACTGTGAGATAAAAACATCAAGTGTTGACTTCCCTTGAGAATTTGTTCTTCATGTACATTTCATCTCTCCTTTTTAATCAGCGCATTGTTTCACACAGAATTCACTTCTTTCAGAGACCAGAAGCTTGTACAGTCAGATTGGGAACCTGTAGTCCGTATTTTATTATTCGTTTTGCTTCAGCTTCTCATAGGAGTCTCAACAGGCTTGTTTAATTCCTTCTACAGAATGGAATGGATTCATGGAAGCAGGTCAGATCTCCCCAGCCTGACATGACTAGAAAAAAGTCTGGTCCCGACTCAGTGTTGGCTCTTTGTTTTTTCATAAGAATTTCCTCAAAAACAGTTTTGAATGTTATGCAAGGTCATGCTCCCGAGCGATTAAAACAACCGTTGCGGTTAAGGTGGTGACATTCTTTTAGTGGAAGGAAGCTTATCTGGCCTCTGAGAAGTGAAGGTGAAGTCACTCAGTCTGATTCTTTGCCAGCCGGTGGACTGCAGCCGGCCAGGCTCCTCTGTCCGTGGGGTTCTCCAGGCAAGAACCCTGGAGTCGGTTGCCATGCCCTCCTCCAGGGAGTCTTCCCGACCCTGGGATCGAACCTGGACCTCCCTGACTGCAGGACTCTTTACCGTCTGAGCTCCCAGGGAAGCCCACTGGCTCTCTAAGAAGCCTGGTCTTAGCTCTGGCCTCTAAGAAGCCCTCCGCCCGCCTCCGGACATTGGGCTGTCCAGTCATGGTGCCTTCACAGCTGCTGTCCACCTCCTGGGGACTGTTTTGACACGGAATCCACCTTTGATCCCTTCAGTAAACAAAGCTATGATTGCCAC